TAATTTAGAGGAAACCAGCAACATCTGCAGTGTAACTAATGTAAGTATAATTTAGAGGAAACCAGCAACATCTGCAGTGTAACTAATGTAAGTAATTTAGAGGAAACCAGCAATATCTGCAGCAGTGTAACTAATGTAAGTAGTTTTTAAGAATAATAATGGGTTGCCAAATAAGGATGTTTTTGTTATTGTTATTGTTTTTGTTATCCAACATTTTTGTGAGGCTTTATTTATTCAAGCGAGGGGCTCTGTTATTATACAGTATGTCCCATGACAGTAGTAAGACGATTTAAATGTCGTCTTTGATTTTTTAAATATTTTTCTGAATTTATTTGTTAACCTGACTCAAAAAGTGTTCAACTTTCTCTATTGTTTCTTATAAGCTAGAAATGCGCAAATTAATTTTGCAGAGAACCCTCATTACGAACATCAAAATTATTTCACACTTAAATGTTAGTAGACAAAGGTGTTTTGTCCTGTCTTTGATTTTAGAGTCTCAAAGTTTTGATTTACAAGTGTCTAAAACGACCAAGCTTACATTTGCTTGTTACACATCTAGAAGAGGTGGTGTGTCTCAAAAACATTCCAATTTTGTTTGTTCACTTTTCTGAGGGACAGAAGAATGTCCTATCATAGTACTGATTGTCTACTTTTGAAGTCTATCTTCTTCCAATTGAAAATTTTACTACTTGATTTCAAAACATCAAAATTATTTCACACTTAAATGTTAGTAGACAAAGATATTTTGTTTTGTCTTTGAGTTTAGAAAAAAGTCGCATTAAAAAACAAGCACTTTAAAGGAAAAAAACATAGACAAATATTCAGAGTACCATTGTGAATCGGGCATTGTCATCTTACCTTGGAGGGTCACTTGAGATTACTGTGAAAGTCCCTGTAAGAGATAATAAGATCTAATATATGTTTTTTAGCTTAGTAATTTTTAAAGGGATGAAGAGTACAAAAGTTCATATATTATTTTTACCTATTTCCAGTTGACTCTTCTTGAAGATATTAGCGAGGATAAAGCAATGTTTATTTATCTGGAAAAGGAAGCATCTAAATCCTTGGTAAGTTTTAATTCTTAAATTTAAAAAAAAAAATAAACGTTTTTAATAAATTATTTGATTAGCATCGTCAATAAATATTTTCAAATTTTTACTTTCATTATTTATTTATTTATGAATTGAATACGCTGTATCATTTAACTCAAGCCCGTATACAGAAATAAATCTAGGAGGGGGCAAAATATACGCGAAGCGAAAAGATTTTTGTTTACCCTCCCTAAAAGCTTCTAGGGGGGGGGATTTGAACCGTAAATTCAAAACATTTGGCTTCTTGGATACTGTAAAGGTCCAATTTCAGGTCTAGGTAGGGGTCTGCCCTCCTTCCCCCTCCCCCCTGTATTTGTTGTTATATGTCAAAGATATCATTTTACATTTAAATAAAATAAAATAAATAATTCGATGTTTATTTAAGGAATTGGTCACTCCCAAAACTGTAAGTTTTTAAAACTCTAAATATACGTAATTGTCATGAATAATGATTTATATAATTTTCATTGAAAATGTACTTTTAACGTAACTTAATCATTTTCATATTTGATTTTTTTACGTAAAATTTCAGCAATTTAATAAATAATTAAACATGTTAAATTAAAATTTTACAATACTTTAGTTTATAGATTACATATACAGGGTGTCCCACGAAACATGACAGTTGGTAAATAGTTTTGAATGTCGTCTTTCATATACTGTGTTATATATTAAAGGCTGTTTGCAGTTTATTTCGATGCTTAAGTATATTTTACTTTGAAATTATTTTTACTATAATATGACTCCTATATAATATTTTTATTATTGTCTTTGGTCTTAAACAATTAAACAAATCATGGATGAAGACATTCTAAACTATTTACCAACTGTTATGTTCCGTGGGACACCCTGTATCTTAAAATACATTTAATTTTCAGATCATTGCAATGAATTTATTTCAAGTCGTTATTAGTGTCATATTCTTTGTAGTAACCCGAAAAGTTTAATGGGACTGTAAGCGTAATTTCAAGTGCCCGCCATGCAAAGATGGCAATACCCGAATCACAACGATATCCTTAAAAGCTTTTCTGATCATGCATGAACTATATATCAATGTTTACAGTTTACTTGTGCAATTCAATGTTGCAGGAAAAAACATAAAAATTATCAGAATTTAAACACTTAATCTAGAGAAACGACAAATTCTTCCACAGATTTGTAATGCAGGAAAACTTATAGGAATTAAAAGCTAATTGTAACTTACGTTTACTCCAATTCTAATTTTATATTTGTTATTTCTATTTTTAATAGATCTAATTCATAATATTATTTATAAGTCCGTATTACTTGACCAGAAATTCCTCCAATGGCAGTGCAGTAAAGTGGTCACGTGATACAGGCGGAGACACGTGACCAGTATACTGCTCTGCCTAAATCTATTAAAAATAGAAATAACAAATATAAAGTAAACCTAATTTACAATTAGCTTTCTCTGGGATATCATCGTTTTCAGATTGGTTGCATATTTGCTGAATTTGATCTTTTTAAACCTACTACTTTTATACAAAATTGTATATATATTAATTTTCGCATAAATTTGACATAGTCGTATATCGATTTCTCGAGATAGGAACATCAGATATAACTTTCATGGGCCGCGATTGAGAGCTAATTAGCTTTCAGCCTATACCCCCTTTCATTTTTTCTTTACAGTACCTTTAAACAATTAAACAAATTATGAAAGAAGACATTAATAAATTAAAGACAATAATAAAACTATTAACCAACTTTCATGTTCCGTGGGACACCCTGTATCTTAAAATACATCTAATTTTCAGATCATTGCAATGAATTAATTCCAAGTCGTTATTAGTGTCATATTCTTTATAGTAACCCTAAAATTTTAAAGGGACTGTTAGCGTAATTTAAAGTGACCCTCCACGCAAAGATGGCAATGCTCGAATCACAATGGTACGCTTAAAAGCTTTTCTGATCATGCATGAATTATATATCAACGTTTAAAGTTTATTTGTGCAATTCAATGTTGCAGGAAAAAATATAGAAATTACCAGAATTTAAACACTTAATCTAGAGAAACGACAAATTCTTCCACAGATTTGTAATGCAGGAAAACTTACAGAAATTAAACACTTTTTTAGAAAAACGACAATATTGTCAATAATGTTGATTAGATAAAGGTTTCAAGGGTACCGTTGTGAATTGGGCGTTGTCATCTTTGCATGGAGGTTAACATACACGTTTAGTCCCTTTAAGATTCCATGTTTTCTCTTCAATTTAGATTGAACATGACAACTTTCTCCTGATTGGCTATGGTAAGAAACCTTTGTTTTTCCACTCCACTCTTATTTATTTTCAGATATAGTTTTAATATGTTATAATATACAGATTAAACCAGAACTTCAAGGCAATGGAAAGAATTTATGAAATGTCGTCTTGACAATTATTTCAATGTTGTTTTACTATTTTAACTAAATTTCAGTAATTGTACAAAATAAAAATATAGCCATTATATTTTCGGGGACAGTTTTAAAGAGCTCAATATAATTATTCAATCAAAAAGCATTACATTACATTATCATCAGTTTTGGAAAACGACGTTTTATAAATTCTTTCGGTTTTCCCGAAGTTCTGATTTAAAGTAAAGGATGAAAAAGGAATGAAAGTAATTTTCGATTAATCTTTTAACTAGAAAATTCGTTGAAGATTGGGATTGTCATGATTAATAGATTTCCAAATATATATTTAGTTCTTAAAAATTACAAAAAACCTTGGCGACACTTCCAACTGAAATATTGAACATAAAATAACTTTTATTATACCACATTGAAAACCAGAAAAAAATGGAACATGAAGACGACATTATGTCAATACTTACGTTGACGCTGTTGCTAAGCAAATAGTTTTACTAGACACTTATTAAATCATTAATTATGTAAAATGGTACTTAACTCACTTCACAGTTGCGGTGTATCTAAACGTCGTCTTAGTATTTCAAAGTTTTCTGGTTCTCACTATATTACTTGTCAATTATTAAGGTATGATGGTTCAATCCTACCCATGTCCCTTTACTCTACCTGTTAATATCGGTTCTTTTGACATGGGTGGTAAGAACTTTTGAAATATATGAGATAAAAACTTTTACTGCCCTTATTCCAACATTACCGACCTATGATTCCTCGAACAGAAGAACGTTAAATTACTTTAAGTCCCTTGAGACAATTAAGTTTTAAACAACCACCCGCTCTGCGGAATTTTTTTGAAAAAATTTGCGCATTTTCATCTCAAAACACGGTAAAATTGTGTACAACTATACTTTTTCGGGAAATTGAAAATTTTACTTTACCACGGGTTCAATCGACCAAAATTAGTTATGGGAAATCATGGTAAAGTAAAATTCTCATAACTTCCCTGTAAGGTAGTTGTAAATAGTCATCAAACCATGGGAGGAAAAAAATTTTAAAATATGGTAGTAAAATCTTTTAAAACATGGGAGGTAAAAACTTTTAAAAAATGGGAGGCAAAAACTTTATAAAAATATGGGATTAGCTGCTAAAATTTTCAAGGCTTTAGTCTATACCCCCTCTAATTTTACCTTAACATTCTATATAGGATAAAAAGGAACAATTTTTTTCATTTGTTGTCCGTTGCTAGGCATTAATCTGTCAAAATTAAAAAAAAAATTTGTTCCAATAACAATAACAAAACAAAAAAAATCTCAAAAGTTCATTATAATAGCAATTAAATAAATAATTACTATAAAGACAGTACATTGTTTTTTTTTACTTCTCATACAATCAGGTTTGAAAATAAAAAAATCGAACGAACCTAAAATAAAGACCTTATTTTTAAGCGGATAAAAGTTGGTCTTATTTCAAAGTTCGGATAAGGAATTGAGTATTTGCCACAAGCTAAGATTTTCTAATCCTTTTCAACCCAAAGTGGGGAACTGTGATATTTCAAACTATACATTTTGTAAGATAAATTAATCTAAGTTTGAAATATTAAAGGTTTACACCATCAGGTTGCAGCAATATAATTCCTTAACTTACTTCCTTTGTTGTGATTGATTGTTGATTTTTAATATTTACAGGAGTTGCAGTTCTTGATGGAAAAATCTACATCTACAACTTTATATCTAACACGTAAGCTATTTTAGATTAATATCTAAAAACTATCTGATGAACTATGTTTTTTCCAAAATTTATTGTTGAACAAGAAATAAAATTGAAATCATCGAAAGGGGAATGGGCACATTTTCCCTCAAATTACACAAACTTTCAGGGGGGGGACGCCTTTATTTTTGAAGCTATTTTCTTGAGATTTTGCATGAAGATCAGATTAGTGATTAACTCTAGGAATGCATTTTCTAAAAGTAAAAAATAAAAAATGCAAAAACAATTTTACCGCATTTTCTGCGTTTTTTGAAAAAATATAGGCTTGTCTGATTTTAGGTACAAATTGGGCCTGTAGTATGTTTGGTAATATTTAAAATACGAAAATCCGCCAAAAATGAAAGTTTCAGCTTTTTATGGTTTCCCTGCAAAATCTAAAAAAATCATCTTGAAAAATAAAGTTGTTTTTTCTGAATTTTTTATAGAAATTTTTTGTTTGTTTTTTATTTGGCGCAATTTTTACAGCAAAATAATTGTTTTGTCTAGCTTTACTGATTTTCAATGCGCAAAAGTTTTTTAATTAAAAAAATAAATGAAAAAAATAAAATATCCGGGAAATTTTTTTTTTGGAGCATTTAGTCCATTAGTTAATCATAATCATGATCTGAATCCAAAGTTTGAACAGAAAAACTTAAAAAATAAAGATAGGACCTCAAATAAAATTTCCAAGGGAAAAATGGCGGGAAACAAAAGAAGGAAAAAATCAACCAAAAAATTATTCATGTTGTTGTATTTTTTACATTTTGAAAATGCATTCTTAGTGTTAATCACTATAAATCTGATCTTCATGCAAAATCTCAGGAAAATATTTTCAAGAATTTGAGGGGAAATTGCAGTTGTCAAATCGGAAATCTCAAAAATCTAAGATTTTTTCAATTTTTGATGCAAACCGACTTAAATCAACTTAGCCATGTGCCTTACATTTCCGTTTATATATCAGGCATTCCTTTATTTTGTATGCATATGTAGGTATAGGATTGAAAAATTAAGTAAAACTAAAGTAAATTACAAGGAACAACTCTTCAACTCTTCTTCTTGTTTTGATTTCTCATATCTTGTGCGGATAATAAATATTAGAGGAGCTACTATGGTCACAAAGTGGTCTAGTGTACAGTCAGAAGAAGATTTATAGTTTTTACAGTAAGCTTTTTATCACAATCATAAATTTTTCACCTTTTCTCTTTTAAACTTTCTAATCGTTCTAAATAAAAAAGTTTCAAGCGGACAGCTTCGTAAGTTTAAAGATATTTAAAATAAAGTCCAAAACTCGATTGAATTAAAGAAAGCGAACGCATCCCGCTCGTCTTGATAGCCCAGGGAAATGATAATAAACTTTCACCCCAAACTAAACCGAGAGAGTATTTAAGCTATCCGTACCTGGTTCAGCTTATCTATCCTACCAAGCAAACGGAGACTTGAGCTTAATCCACTTTGCCATCCAGAAGTAGAGTTTTAGTTGGGTTTCAAAGTTAAGTTAAATCTTTTGAACCATTTTTGAAGTCAACTCACCAACTGGGCGAAATCAGATGGAAAGAACTGTGTAAATTGGTCGCCGAATCGGTATTTACACCGATTTCAGGCACCACTATTGCAGGGTTTATCTCCACTTTAACAAATACGAAAACTCTGTAATAGGAAGTCGACTTTTAGACTCAAGTTATGACTTTAAAAAGTTCAATGAACATGAGGCACAGCAATTGTGCAGTGTAAACAGACCCATTTCACTTCATAAGCGATTTAACAACTTACTTATAGTAAAGCTATTTTCTTAACAGCATCAAATGTACTTCAGTTAAAATTTCTTTAATGTCGTCTTCCAATTCTGATTGGTGTGTAATATTGATACCCCCCTCTCTGTTAAGGTGTTTCAATGGTAATGCTGACTCTACAGGAACCTGGGAGGAAATACCAGCTTTTTTTACCCCAGCAAAACGGTATCCTTCAATGATAACAGTTGGACAAAATATCATCATCTCCGGAGGTCTCAACCCATCTTCTGTTCAGTAAGCTTTATTTTGTATTAACACATTGTCTCACTATAAAATGTGCTGTACTGTCACGTTTTCCTGCTGTATATTGTCTGTATGTGTACTGTATTGCTCTAGCTGGTTAAAAGTTGTCCTAAGCTAAAAACTTTATAAAATGAGATATCCTTAATCCTGATCGCTTAATTTGATTATCCAATCAAACACTTTTGATTTTCCTCTTTTTGGATATTTCTACTGTATAAAAGTTACGTTTGATAACAATTACAGATACAATGCTATATCAATTGAACTAATATCCGATTAAATTAAAGTCAGCTGTTCACAAACCGGCTTTTAGAGCATTTAAACAAATATAGATTTAATCATGTTAATATGAAATTATTAAAAAACATATGTTAGGACTATTGTCATTTTGAACATTAGCCTTAATAAACATTAATCCAAAACTTACGTTCGTTCAATCAATGTTTAGTTCAACTGATATGACACCACAACACCAGAAATCAAAACTGGTTTTTAAAAGTTAAAGAGTATATCTTAACTTGACACACTGGTCGCTGATTGGTTAAATTTTAACTTCTTTCATGGATATCGAATGCGTTTTAAAATAATCTTGGGTTTAGTATAACCAGGAGTTTAAGCTTTAATCTTGATATCCACCATTCTAAAGTTTTCAGCTCTGGTACTAGAAATAAGCTGGAGTTTATGTAGTGGTCTTTGATTAGAAAATAAAACACAAATCTGTTACAAAACTGTAAGAATTTTGTTCAGAAGTATTTCGAAATTGATAACATTCTATTAGATAATATGAAAAGACTGTTAGGTTAGTGTCTTTCATGTTCACAAATTTGTATAACGTCACCACATAATGTTCATAACTTTTCGAAATTCATTACATGAGTTCAATATTCGGAACACAACATTTAGTAACGGGTGTGTTAACTGAGCTGAAAACTTTAGAATGGTGGATATCGATATTAATGCCTGATCCTCTCTTTTTCTCAATATCGAGACTAGCCTAATCTTGTACTTGTATCCTGAAAAGTGTATAAAATTCAACCAATCAGAGTCGCGTATATGAAGCCGATAAATTTGAAATTTTGCGGTTTGTGTAAAAAGCTT